TTGCATGAGAGGGAAGCTGCTATAAATGTGAGGTGTCTTGCAGAGGACCCCAGGTCTCGTCTTGTCAACATCGGAGCATCGATCCGGATCGGCAGAAGCCCGGCTCCACCCCTCCCCTATCTAACTCACTTGGCCAGTGAAGTTAAGGGGAGCAACTAGTTGGTAACAACAACAAGACAGAGTGTGTTTGTGTATGTGAGTGCATGAGTGTAATATAGATCATCTGCATATGATACATTGTTGATTGATGCATCTATTACCAATGAATGTGGCGTTTGCCTTATTTCCCCCTGAAAAGATCCTGTGCAGTACTTTAAGTACAAAAACCCCACCTCCCCTGCACCCAGACTCTCCCCCCTCCCCCCCCCGCTGAGCTCCAGCCACTTTCACTTGGTCCCCCCTGCAGACTCCCATTGCCCCTGTAACTGGCACCTCCCTGTGCATCCAGATCCCCCACTGAGCTGCCTGCACCCAGACTGCCCCCCACAGAACTCTTACCCCCCCCACAGAACCCTCTTACCCCCATCTGGATACCCCCACACTAAGTCCCTCTGCACTTGGATCCTGCTGCCAGACTGAGCCTCCCTGCCCACATCTGGTGTGCCTGGTGCAAAAGGGGCAGGGCCCCAGGGTGTTTCTGTGGCAGGCCTGGCCCTTTTGCTGTGTCAGGGTCAGGTTCAGTCTCACTGCCAAGTCCCTGTCCCAGGAGGGCGGGGGAGGCTGCAGGGTATTCTCCCACCTCCATGCAGCCAGTGGCCTGTGCTCCCCACTGCCGTGGTGGAGCTTCCACATTTATTTATTAAAAAAAAAAATTCAGAATTTTAAAATATTCATAGAATTTGATGCAGAATTCCCTCAGGAATATGGGGCACTGTACAGCTGTGATGGTGGGACAGTAGGGGATCTATGGGTTGGGGAGCTGGGCAGGGGGTGTGGTGTGCAGGGTGCTGTGCAGTTGTGGTGGGAGGTCAGCGGGAGGGGTCTCTAGGCAGGGGGTGCTGGGCATAGGGATCTGTGGGGGAAGTCTCTGGGTGAGGGGGTGCTGGCATAAGGGCAGGGCACTGGGCGGGGGGGGGGGCAGTGTGGAAGGGGCATGCTGGCAGCTCAGGGCTGGGTGGACCAGTGTGCATCTAGCAGTTTTGGGTTTGTAAACAGTGCCCTTGTGCTGGGCTGAGTGGGGCCACTCCCACTGTGCCTCATTGCCCCCAACTGCCCCCCTGCTCTGCGGACCGCCCCCCCATCACATGCCCTATTTTCCCAATGGGGGCCCACAATATATGTTTGAGGCCGGGACGACAAAAAGTTAATCCAGCCCTAGGTGCTACCACAATATGAATAATAAATAATAATAAATCATTGAGACATAGTTCAGCCATGCTACTTTATCGCCCTGGACTTACGTGGCAATCCATTGCTCAGGCCTATATTTACAAATTATACTTAATTAAAACTTTTATTATAGGTAAGGCTGCGAGTTTGTCACGGAGGTCATGGAAGTAATGGATTCCGTGACTCCCATGACTTCTGCAGCAGCCGGTGCACCTGGTCCTGGGGCAGCTCAGGCAGCCCCTGCGCTAGTTGCACCAGCTACTGCTGGGGCAGTCTAGAGCCACCGCACCCCAGCAGAAGCAGGGGTTTGGGTGTGAGAGGGAGCAGGAGGTTGGGGCACAGGATGGGGTGAGGCAGGCTCTGGTCAGCGCTTACCTTGCAGGCTTCCCGGAAGCTGGAAATCCCCCTTGCTCAGCTTCTAGGCGGAGGCATGGGCAGACAGCTTTGCACACTGCCTCCGCCCAGAGCACTGGCTTCACAGCTCCCATTGGCTGGGAGCTGCGAAGCCAGCGCTCTGGGCAGAGGCAGTGTGCAGAGCTGCCTGGCCATGCCTCCACCTAGGAGCTGAGCGAGGGGGATGTCCCCACTTCCGGGGAGGTGCGGAGCCAGGTAGGGAGCCTGCTGGCCCCCCCAAGCACCAGTAGGGTTACGGACCATGTGCTGCTGCCCCCCTGCCCCCAACACCCCCTCCTCCCCGATTTAGTCAGGGGCATATAGTAGAAGTCATGGACGGGTCACAGGCCATGATTTTTTGTTTACTTCCCGTGACCCGTCCATGACTTTTACTAAAAATACCCATGACTAAAACGTAGCCTTAATTATAGGTGATAAATATTCAAGGCAGTTTTTGAAACACAATAAAATGAGAGTTTCCATATAATATCCTCATTACATAACAATCAGTTAACTCCATTAGGAACCCTTATGTATTTCGCTGTTCTTGGCCAATGAAATGACATATCAGTTTTACTTTTGTTTATAATTAGTTTCTACCAGGTCCATTTTCTGGGTCATATACACTAACATAATGCTGTTGGTTTTGGGTTCAGTAATGCAAGGTAAAATTTAAATCAAACCCTTCTAACCTTTATAAAATCCTTATTTAATATCTGCTAAATTTTAGGGTTAAACCAAGTTGACAGTTTCCCCATAGATGAATGTTTACTATAATTCAGCTATATTTAAAGCTCTGATACTTTCCATTATAAGTCTCATTACTTGGGTTTGTAATTCATCAGTAAAAAAAATTGTGTCAAAAGAAATATATTTTTGATTGCAATATATATATATATATATATATTCTACTCGAATCTGGGCAAATTCTACAATGGAATTTTTCTTTTTTATTCTACCAGTTTTACCCTGACTTTAAAGGCAAGAGCAAGTATCTTTCTTAGGGTATGTCTTCACTGCAATTACCCCAAATGATCAGCACCTGGGTCAGAGCACCCAGATTAGTCTAACTTGGATGTGAGTGGCCACATACCTCAACACTAGTGCTGCACTTGCCTGTGTGAGGTGCTAGGACTTCTGAGGGCATATCCATGGTTCTTAGAACTGCAGTAAGCTGAGCCACTCTGATTCTTTCCCAGTGAACTTTGGAAGAACTTGTCTATCCCTCTGTGCACACAGGGGGAAACATGGAAAGGCACTGGAGTGTTTTAGCTGTGTCCTCACTGCAAAATGTGCTGGGTTAGCAGCTGGAGATAGGGTGCACTCAGGCTTTTAACCTATATCCTGGACAGGCTCGCTAGCTATGTTGAAACTGATCTGAAAGTATCACCATATGTGGGGAGAGGGTTGTGTGTGAATTGGAGTTGAGTTAGGGACAATACATGAGTAAGAGCCAGAGTTAACTGCAGTGAAGACAAGCCCTTATTCAAATAACTCTAAAATATTTCAAAACATCCTAGATGGTTATCTGATTTATTCAGCTCTTTGGATATTCAAAGCTTTTCAGCCTTTTTCCCATGCAAATTCCTTTTGAAGGAATGAAGCATCATCAGCAGGTAAGTACCCTGAGTAGGTACAGTAGTTGGATGTTTATTATATGATAAACAGAAGTGAAACTGCTAACATTGTTACAGCATTTAAACAACACTAGTGATAATTAGGCCATAACATTAACACCCACGTGATAAATGGGGGACTTTCCCACTTTCAGTGTGGCTACAGCCTCAAAAGCATTGCATTTAGGTGCTTTCTGAAAGTTATCTTCAGGGCTAGATGGGCTCTATCCCCGTGGTAAGATTGTGATAAAAATGCCTTCATTTTGTCTAGACAACAGGCAATGCTATTGGAGCTGTACTGTCGAGAATTACAGGTCCCCAATTTACCTAGTGTAGATTCAGCCTTATAGTTTTTCTCTCTCATTAGTGCTTTCAAGCATTTTTTGGAACTGTCTTGCTATGCAGTGTCCTGCTGGAGTGACTGTGCCTTAACCTGGTGCTGCTGCTCCAGGTACGTTATTACTAGACTGTGAGCCTGCCGGGAGCTCTGCTGACACAAATACCCCCACTAGAGGAAGTCAAAAGGCTGAGGAATATTCCATCATTGCTCCGATTTTATGGAACATGGCATTTCTTGGTTCTCCTCTGGCCGGTACCAACCAGAAGGTAACGTCCCAGGGTCAAGGAGTGCATGCTGCAATGCCTCTTCTAGTATGAAGTGTGCTGCTGAGCCAATTTATATTCATTCACACAAGATTCTTCAGCCCATTCACCCCTCGTGCATTAAATCAACATTTAAGAGGTTTTGCTTTGATTTTACAGACCGCGAGATAAATAGAAAAAAATATCTATTGCTAACAAAAAAGCCCGACTCAGTTGTAGTTAAACTCTCCTAGTTGGAAACTGGTCCTGCCTTGAGCAGGGGGTTGGACTAGATGATCTCCTGAGGTCTCTTCCAACCCTGATATTTTATGATTGATTCTATGTTCCTGCTGCAGGCTCAGGTTGCTTTTGGGTAGTAAAAGGAAACAAGGCAGGTCTTCTACTTTGTAGCACAGGTTATAGCCCAGGCACTTCATGTGCTAGTAGGAAGCTTTGACCACAAACCACACTAACTCAGCCTCGCACTGAGGCAGGAGCTGTGAAGGCTTTTCAGTGCCTATCTGCCCCAGACATTAGTGCTTTGTCCCACTCTAGCGGGAGCTGCGTTTTTCTAACAGCACGTTGCAGTGGCTCCAGCCAGCAAACGCCTCCCAACCAGCACTGCGGTGTATTTCTGTGGTGGAACCGTGATGTTGTTTTGCGGGGGGAGGCGGGTATGGACCGTCTGTCTCGCACAGTCTCTGCGGGGGACGCGGGAGGGAAGTCCTCCCGCGCACTGACAATTTCAGGCTGATGGTCAGGGGCTAGATGCCTGTACCCCCGCGCCAGAGGGGTTAGATGGGGGGGACTCGGAAGTCCAGCCAGTGAGGCCCGAGGCGGGCACGTGGGAGGCCCCGGCCCGGGGCTCTGTGGGACCGGCAGGAGGCTGGACACAGAGGCAGGGGGACAATCCAGCCCCGCCGGCGGGCCGCGTCCTTCCCACTTCGTCGCCCCAGCGCGAGAGCGGCAGCCGGACTCGGCCGTGCCCCCTCCCACGCCCGCCTCCTTCCACGTCTGGCTGCGCCGCGGCCGCTCCCCGGGGCACGGGCTATAAGAGGCGCCGGGTGGGGCTGGCCGCAGATGCTGGAGGCAGAAGGCGGCGGGGAGAGGCGAGAACCTGCGGCCATGAAGTCCCCGCAAACCAAGAGTGCGGCCGGCAAAGGTGAGCGCGGCTGGCCCTGGCGCTCGGCTGCAGCCCCCTAGCGAGAGCCACCGTCGGGGCTGGCGGGAGGGAAGGAGGCGGCAGCCGCCGCTGGGCTGCGGGTTCGGTGTCCCTCGCCTCCCGCCCCCAGGCCAGGCTGTCACCGGGGCCGAGCGGTGTTCGCAGCCGCCGCGGGGAGCGCTCGGTGCAAACTCCCGTTACTGCCGGGAGCAGAGGCGGCCAGGACCCGACCCCGGCCCGGCGAGCGACTGAGGCTCGGCTGCTCCCGGCTCCCTCTGTTTCCCCAGTCGGTCCCGCTTTTTGCGGGGACATGGGGGTTTCGCGGGGGGGGTGGGTGGCCGGTCTCTTTGTGTGGAGGAATGGGGGTGTCGCTGGGGGGGTGGGCCGGTC